TTAATCGATCGCCTTGATATCCGGGTGTAACATTACTTAAAATTATTAATTAAAAAAATATTTTTTTATTATCACATTAAAATTATTTAAAAAAATAAAAACATAATTTAAAAGAAAACATTTTTAAATATTTGCAAAAATATTTTAAAGCAAAGCAAGAAGGTTTAACACTTTTCCCTCCTATAACTCAGGCCATATTATCAGAGACCTTGGACAGCTAATCAAAGCAACCAAGGAGAAAAGCTGAGATAGTAACACGAGCAAGAGTAAGGCAAGGGCGACTAAGGCAAAGGCAAGGGCGACTAACGCAAAACTCGATGACGAAGGGGTTAACATTTACATAATACAAGGCATCCTACCTTTCTGAAAAACAAAACCTATGAAGTCCGTTGATTTTATTACATGGTGCAACAAAGGGATAATGAGAGCAACCAAGGATAAAAGCTGAGACAGTAGCAATAGCAAGAGCAAGGCAAGGGAGACTAAGCCGAAACTCGATGGCAAAACAATTACATAATACAAGGAATTCTACCTTTCTGAAAAACAACCACCGACCAGCCAACAAGAGTCGCCATCGATTTCCCTCGCCTCTTTACAACCCCTCTCATTTTCTTCTTTTTTTTTTCCTTCCTCTGCCAACGACTGCCAACTCTTCCACCGCTCCTTGCAACGCTGCCGCCTAGACCATCAGCTCGACCTCATGATCACGGTCATGATCACAGACCCTGATAGTCTTCTCCTTCGCCTGTCTCCAACTTCTACAACCATTTGGTTGGGTGCAGAATGTGAACAATAACTGTTCATATTTTGCAAATAATTAACTTAAATGATGGGTCGGACCTGATTTGGCCTGGCCTATCCAAAAAAAAAAAAAAAAGATTATATTGGGTCGAGATTGTCCCAATTATTTAAAAAAAAATCAAAAAATTTTCAAAAAATCTTAAATATTTTAAATTAATTGTCCTTTTTTAAAAAAAAATATTTTGTTTTTAAGCATGTAGCCAAATCCTAAAAAATTTTCAAGTATATTTTCATAAAAAGATTGCATCTTTATCATGTTTTGAAAATCTAAAAAAATAGATATTATAACCAGTTTATGATCATATATTAAGTTTTGGTCAAAATATCAAAAATCATTTTATAATATTTTTTTAGGGTTTAAATATAGACTTTAATATTTATGGGGTGTAAAATGACACGATAAAGTATACTTTTAGGTATTAAAGATACAAGACATAAAATAAATACGATACTAAAATTTAGATTTTAAAATAGTTAATATTTAACTCAATACAGTTGAAACTTTCTTATGAACAGAGATCTACATTAAATATTAGAAAAAACCAACAAATAAAAACCCAATTTAGAGAAAACAATTAAATAACAATGCAGTTTACCTTAGGTAGAGTGCACTGAAGATGATGTGTCTTTTTTTTTTCTTTGTACAATTAATTTTTTATCCAAAGTCTAACAGATCATAAATTTCTAATAACTATAATATTAAATGATTAATCTTAAACCTTAATTATAATTTTTTAATCATATAAAAAAAATTATTCCTAAAAAAAGACTTTATACAGAAGTCACGATAAAAAAACCTTTACCATTGCTAAACAACGTCACAGCTAGACCCCGCGACAGGGTGTCTGAAGAATGGATCTTTGTAGATTACTGATGGTTGTTAGAAATTAGTGTAGTGGGACGATAATTCGTTATTGTTAGTTTTATGTTGTCAGTGCTTTCCTGTCCTTGAGCATGTTTTTTGATTATGCAGAGAATAATAAATAAAATCCTTTCTACTTTTGTCTCTTCTCTTCTTCTTTATTTTTTTTTATGGTTGATAGTAAATTACTCATCACAATCCTTTGACTGGATTGTTCTTGGTTGCCCCTTGGCGGCGGGAGGTTAGCAAAGCTGGAAGAGGAGGAGACGCCACAGCCTTGGCCTGAGCTGGTTGGCTTATATGGACATAAAATAATGGCTGAATGCATATATTGACAAAGAAAGGACCACGTTGGTGCCTAAACTTTATCAACAAGAGCCGACGGGTTTAGTTGCAACTTGGCCACAGAATGTGCAAATTATTGACATCAATATTCATCATGGCGAAGGAGGATGATGATGATGTAATAAGAAGTGCCGTATGGTGACCAGATTCTGGGTACCTGTTTATTTAATTTTTAAGTACAATTTCAGACCATTCCTTTGTAAATCATGACACCTTTCTATAACATTTGTTAAGTTTTTATTTGTAAATCATGACACCTTTCTATAACATTTGTTAAGTTTTTATTTGTAAATCATGACACCTTTCTATAACATTTGTTAAGTTTTTATTTGTAAATCATGACACCTTTCTATAACATTTGTAAATCATGACACCGTTCGCGTGTCAAACCTTTTTTTTTAAATAATTTTAAATATGTATCTTTAGTACCAATATTTTAAATAATATGAATAATTAAATGCAGTAATAATAAATAAATTAAAAAATAATAACATAAAAACAACTATAAAGCTTATCAAGAAGAAACTGAATAAAATTATAAAATTTAAAACTGAATAAAATTATAAAATTTAAAACTGAATAAAATTATAAAATTTAATTATTAT